CTACACCTGTGTAGTGACAATAAAGACTGTTCTGTAATTTGACAGTAAACAACAGAGTGTGGTACCTGCTGGAGAATCTCCTCAGTGACATCTGCCCCACATCCTGGATAAATGTTATTTGGTCTGTAGGAACAGAGCAGCACAGACATGAGTCCACAGCTATGCTCATTAACATCATTATCATCATGTCAGGTATGTGAGTGACACCTAAATTCACTGCAACAACTACCATTGACTCCACATGTGATTCTCACAGTAGTGATGCTCTGAGGCCACACAGCTGTACTGTCTGTGTCACTGTGAGAACATCAGGAATCATTTTCACACGAGTCACAAAAACTATTAAATAAATCACACTGAGTTATGGAAACGGTGACGTGATGTATTAAAGGTGCTCAGCACACCAGCCCAGCAGTGAGCCTGCACTGACGAGCTCACAGCTCACAGTGACAGGTGGGAACAACAAACCTGCCCAGCTGAGCATCACTGCTGCACCTCTGTGACTGAGCAGTGACATGGATGCAATGGAGGTCTTTAAGCAGCTGGTTAAAAAGATCGAACAACATCGCAGGAAGGATGTTTGTTCAGTGTCAGCGTGCTCAGGTAACAATACTGTGAAGTTCCTTCAGGTATTGTTAAACTGTTCTACTGAACGTTTGCAGTGAAAACAGGACCCAGGCTTGAGTAACGCTGTGTCGCTGCTATTACGCCACACGTGTCGCTGCTACACTGCATCTGGAAAATGCTGACAGCGCTTCATGTGTTGCACGTTTTCTCCTGTTCCAGCCTTATTCCATCATTCTGCACGTATGACAAAGGGAAACTGTTGCGTGCTTTGAGTGAATTTAATCCATTTTAAATGTGGAACAACTGGAGCGCTGTCAGTACTGTTTGGATCCTCCGAGTGATGCTGCAGAGTCACACTTCTGTGACATCAGTGACAACAGCTCATTTTGTTGGCACAAACGAACATCTGTCTGCAAACTCCCCTCCTTACTAAAACAGGTTTTCCCTGAAAGCCCCCCCGTGTACCCGCGGGCCTTACCTTGGTTCCTCATAGGGCTGGTGAGTTTGGCCAAGTATGGAAGCAGCTCCGTCTGCAGGCTGACCGGAGTCAGGCAAAAGCTCCGGAACAAGGACTGTGCAGCCACACAGTTCTCCCAGTGCTGCCGGGGACAGAGTTAGCACACCATCACTGCTCACTATGTGCAGCTTGGAATGATTCGCATCAAACTGCATCGCCTGAAAAATACACTCTTACTGTACAGGAGCAACGATCCAAATAGGAAACATCACTATGACGCTGCAAACTTCACAGGCTGAGAGGCTGTTTCAGCGAGTGTTTGGTGAACCCGTCCAACTGAAAGTGTACGTGGACCGACACAAATTCTGCTCAGCTGATGGCAGCGAGCTTTGGGAAGAGCTGGGCTCCATCACGTCTCCACCTCACTGGAGCAGCCACAGAGGGCTTTCAGCACCGTCGACGCGAGGTGAGGTGGCTGAATTTGCCGGAGTTCTTGAAAAAGGAAACATGTGACATCTCTGATGAGTGCATCCAGGCGCCGGCCCTTTTGGCACCACCGTTGCCACGGCAGCATGAAGAGAAGAAGAAAGAGGGAGACGCCGTGCAGCTGTGCCTTCACAGACCCAGGCCGTGCCCACACCTCCACCCACTCACTGCGTGTCTGTCCAGGTCACTGGGCACCAGCATGCTGACACTTAAAATCTGCAGACAGCTCCACAGGATCACAGCATCCAAACCCACTGGCCTAGAAAACACATCCCACCTACTGACACTCAGGGTCCCCCAGAGGAAGAGGACGGCCGAGCATCTCCCACAAGAGAAGCGCCTCAGCCGTGTCCAGCCACATGACACCTGGTCAAACATGAGCCGCCCATGCATGCACAGGCTGCACATCCACCTGGTTCTGCCACAAGAGGGAGCCAAACACCTTCTACTGTGGCATTGGGTCATCTCTCAACAAGAA